TATATATATATATATATAATATATATATATATATATATATATATATTATATATATATATATATTATATATATATATATATATATATATATATATATATATATATATATATATATATATATATATATATATATATATATATATATATATATATATATATATATATATATATATATATATATGTATAATAATATATATATATATATATATATATATATATATATATATATATATGTATATGTATGTATGTATGTATAATGGTATATATATATATATATATATATATATTATATATATCGTTGATAAGTCGGTATAAAATACCAATGCTAAAGTAATAAAACAGCAAGCTTAATGAGAACAATATAAATTTAACAAAGGATCATTGTGATGAATATACCTCTAACAAACGAAGTTACAGTACAAATTATGATGAGCATGATCGTGATGAGTAAGAGAAACGATAAAAACTTTCATGATGATGGCATAATTAACAATAAGGATAACAGTGACATTCATGTACACACTTATGATTACGATAATCATTACGATAAAATAATAAATGATGATGATGACAGGAAATATATTAATTGATCAAATCACAATAACATGTATGAAAGAGAAAAAGTTACAATATAAACTGATTTTAATAATCTATCAATTTAGAATAACAAGCATGTCTGGTTTAAAGAAAACAACGCAAAAAAAAACTTGAAAAACATAATCAAATGACAAGACACGTGACGAAAAAGACACGTATAAAAAAGTTAAAAGTCACACAAACGGGCAAGAAATATGAGGATCGAAAACGTGTCGGTAGTGAAGCCATTCTATTTCTTTCAATCATCTAATTTCTTCAATCATCTATTGTTACACAGTAATCCGTTTATCAATCAATTCAAACAGAGCGGCGGAATTTGCCCAGCCTCCTTTTGTTGAGAGCGCGGAGCAAGAGAGGCAGCGGAAACGAAGGAAAGGTGGAGAGGTTAGCAACTGGAACATCTAGCCCAAGGGTTCCCAGCCTGTGGGCCATGATCCCCGGGGACCATGAGATATCCCCTGGAGGGTGCATGGGGCAGCATGAACCTTAGGACTTTGAATTAAACTGCACCTTGAATTAAATCTCACCTACAGTCCCTACCGATAATTATCTCTCATATTTCAATTAATCTGAATCTTTCCATGTAGTGTTCTTGCCCTATAGCTGTTAGCACCATTACTGGTAATATCAGTATCTGAAAAGATGACAGGCACTGAACGGGGACGTGAAGATCATTCTAAATTGGTCGGCGGCCACAGAATAGGAAAGTTTGGGAACCACTAATTTTGATCGCAAGCATTGACAAGTATCCTCTCTGTTAACAGTCACTACCGTCATCGCAATTATTATATCGGTAAAACTAGCTGACGAACCATTTAATCATAGACCATGCTCTCTACTCGACTACTGTAACAGGATTAGCTAGATGTAGCATAAGCGAAACACTGCAGAATGAAGACTTGTTTGGACATCCTGCATGTGGACTTCTTCTTTACCTATCAGTTGCACATGGTTCGGTCTGGAAGGACTGACACACAAACACACTTAAATACATATAAGGGGAAAAAACTGATTGCGACCTGGGCGGCTTGCTCTCACCCGCCCGGTCGCTTCCCATATCCCGGGCGAGGGTGCAATTAGTGGGGATATTTTTCTGCTCCTTGTTGCAGACTCGAACTCACGACCGTGGATTTGAACCTGGCGCCCTAACCCAAGGTCTAAATAAGTATATGGAACTTGCCCTAACCCGCTCGGCCACTTTATGCATCATATTTGCGTGTGTATGTATGTGTGTGTGTGTGTGCTTGTGTGGTTCATTTGCAAAAAAAAAAAAAAATCATAGAGAAAATGTTTTCTAAAAGGAATGAAAATGCTGATGGTATTGCAATAAACCAAATGATAAAACATATAACGATATAACGATGAAGATGACAGTGACGAGATATATAATGATGGCGGTGATAATGAAAATGACGCAGATGATGATGACGATTATAGAACGATAATATGATAAGGATAGATGGCGATAATCTTAACCAACAGTATGATTATGACAAGAAATGTCATACGAAAAGCTGATCTGATCATCAAACACGAAAGTACCATTTAAAATAAAAATTGCACCAATATCTACTAATGGAAAGAAAGCGTATTCCCGGCGATGTCCGAAGTGCCAAGTGTCAGGGGTCAGCAGTCTCTCGAGGTTCTTTCCTTGTGTACATGGACTGAAGAAATGCTAGTAAACACTCTTTTGTGCACTATTGTATTCCATCTTTTTTGTAGACACGCCATCATATTTCATGAACACACTAAATAAAATAAATAATAGAAACATATAAATAATAGAAACATATAAATAATGATCAAATAAATAAACCCATACTCGAAGCCCAAGCGCGAACACAAGCGGCGACCTCGGCGTCAGGCTACATCAAACAGGGAATGGGCCCAGGCTGTAGCGTCCC